ATTGAATAAAAAATTTAAAAAAAAATCCCATCTTGACCTTTTTTTCCTGTACAATTTTCTAAAATCTTAGCCCTGTTTTTACTTTGTTTTGTTTTCACATATAATGGCACCAGTTATCTTTCTATTTCAAGTTCGATTTTTTATTTCAACTTCTTCAGTGTATAAATAGAACCACACATCCCTCTATATTCTCATTTAAATTACTTGACCACTGGTTACTGAAGTTGCTGTAAAACCCGCGAACGTTTATTGATGAGCGATTTTTGTTTATTATTATGTTAAACATATACGTTATAAATAAACATTGTCTTCAAAATAAAATGTCAAAAAGATTACATATTTTGAACAAAATAAATTCACCTTAACGTGTCGACTCTGTCAGTACTAAATACTACATAATTTATCTCCCTCTATAAGTCTATAGCTCTGTAAAAGCTCTGTAAATGTTACTCGTAAGATTTCCCATATTATATCTAATTAGGTAATCAGCTGTAAATCGTTAATTAACATCACCAGCATTGCTCCGTTTACGTCTTACCACATTGGTAAACAGAAAATACCAGGTGATCTTTTTTGAGGCCCGTCCCACCCCATCCTTTGGGGTCCCTGCCCGCCTTTTTTAACACGTTTTTATTAACTCAGCTTCGCGTTTGTGGATGGATTTGTTTGTTGTTAAAATTGACATCGAAAATTAGCCCACTTCTGATTGCTCTTGAGATCTGAAATTTGGCATACAGGCTACTTTCGCCTAACAATTTCAGATGCAATCATAAAAACTAGCAATTAGAGTCCGTAATTAGCTTAATTTAATTACGCCCCAAGGACCATAAAATTGAGGACATGATTTCTAAAGATACCGACAAGACTGGAGGCTTATTGACACAGTTACTTCGGCCCAAATCGATGTGAGCGCGCTGGCCGTGATCGTATAGTGGTTAGTACTTCGCGTTGTGGTCGCGACAACACAGGTTCGAATCCTGGTCGCTCAAGATTTTTAGTCCGTGTATTTATAAACACTTTTTTAAAAACCACGTTTTTCATGTGTAGCAACGGACTAAAAAGGAGAAAATAAAATACTTAAAAAAAACTTTTTAAAAAACCACGTTTTTTATGTGTAGCAACGGACTAAAAAGGAGAACGGACACGGTAACACATTGTTAACGGTGACACGGTTGGTACGCTGGGCATGCTAAAATACACATAAACACGTTTTTCCTTAACTCAGCTTCGCGTTTATTTGTTTGTTTATGGGAGATTTGATCACGTGATTCGTGAGTAGATCTCCACGCCAGCAACGTAAATTACACCCTTTCTCTGTTTAAAGCGTATCGGTCGCTCAAGATTTTTTTAGTCCGTGTATTTAAAAACACTTAGTCAAGTCATACTTAATTAAGTGATTAGATAAAGTAGAAAATTAACTATATAAAAAACTTTTTAAAAACCACGTTTTTCATGTGTAGCAACGGACTAAAAAGGAGAAAATAAAATACTTAAAAAAAACTTTAAAAAAAACCACGTTTTTCTTGTGGACTAAAAAGTAGAAAATAAATTTTCATACATTTGATGACAAAAAATGTGGGTCGGGCAGATGGGTCGGGAAATTTGACGGTGAACGTACCCACGTTTTTTGTCATCAAATGTATGAAAATTTATTTTCTACTTTTTAGTCCACAAGAAAAACGTGTTTTTTTTTTTAAGTTTTTTAAAAGTATTTTATTAAAACTGTGTAGGTCATTTAAACAGCTTTGTTAGAAAATAAATGTTATTGTTGTTTAAAATCGAGCATTAAAAGTATTAAGATAAACAGCATAGCCTGACATTTTAAAAGATGCAAATGCTTAATTATTTAATATTTAAATTAAATGTTATTTTTTTTTGTTTTTAATACTTTATCTCTCAGCCTTTTAGTCGAAAATTGTTTTGTTGACTAAATCTTAGAGAAAAAAAACTAAAGATTATTCTTTTTTTTCTTTTTGTTTGATAAATGTTTATACCCCTTTGTAATATGTCTCGTGTTATTTCATTAAAAATCGACATCAATACAGGCCCAATAATTGTTTTTAAAGCAGATCGTTATTTATTCCATATATTTGAATAAATAATCCTCAGAAAAAAAATAATTAAGTTATATTCTTTGCATTAAAATAATGAAATTTTTTTTCAATTAGCGAAACGAAAATAGAAAAGGCATTACTTCCTTAACTTAATTGACTTGTATTTTTACCAGTGCTCTGTTGATGAAATCAGAAAGTATTCACGGGAAAATGCATTATTTTAAAACAACATTTTAGAATCATTTCCATGGAGATCTCGAGTTAATGTGAGACAACTCTATTTCTCATTACTCCATTGATTTGTCTGCACTTAATGCTACTAATCGCATTTAATGTAGAAATGAAACAATCACTGGTCGATATTTATGCCTTATTTGCTCTCTTTATGACAGAGTTTGCGTCATTTATACCATTTTGTAGAGATACAAATTGTCAATAGTTTATTATCAGATTAGCACTCCTATACACCACACATTGTTATAAATAAACAGTGAAATAAAAATACAAAGGACGAGGTTTCTTTAGGACATCGCTCAAAACTTGAAGTTATGAATGTTGTCATTGCATCTATTTTTAGACGTGTTGGTTCAAAATGTAAAGGCGCACAATGACACGCCTTTGTGAGACACTTACAGCTCAGAGAGCAAAGAAGGTTGCTCTGAAAATAAAGCAAATAAATTCTACTGCAAAGACATGCACAACTACTTTAGGTCATCCACCACTATGGCAGGTTATGCACCACTGTGACAGATGATCCACCACTGTGGCAGATAATCCACCACGGTGGCAGATGATCCACCACTGTGGCAGGTAATCCACCGTTGCTTCAGACGATCCACCACTGTTGCTAATGATGTACCCCAGCTATTAGCAGTTAACATCAACAACACAACAACAACAACAAAAACCAATCAACGCTGCAATATTGGATCAACCTTACGCTAACACACACAACAACAAAAACCAATCAACGCTGCAATATTGGATCAACCTTACGCTAACACACACAACAACAAAAACCAATCAACGCTGCAATATTGGATCAACCTTACGCTAACACACACAACAACAAAAACCAATCAACGCTGCAATATTTGATCAACCTTACGCTAACACACACAACAACAAAAACCAATCAACGCTGCAATATTGGATCAACCTTACGCTAACACACACAACAACAAAAACCAATCAACGCTGCAATATTGGATCAACCTTACGCTAACACACACAACAACAAAAATCAATCAACGCTGCAATATTGGATCAACCTTACGCTAACACACACAACAACAAAAACCAATCAACGCTGCAATATTGGATCAACCTTACGCTAACACACACAACAACAAAAACCAATCAACGCTGCAATATTGGATCAACCTTACGCTAACACACACAACAACAAAAACCAATCAACGCTGCAATATTGGATCAACCTTACGCTAACACACACAAAAAAACAACTGATGACAATCGAAGTGGGATTTCTACAGCTATAAAGATCCAGTCATTTTCCTCCTTAACATATATGCTGAAGTGGACAGTTCTTTGAAAACAGAAACACTTAAAAATTTACCGTAAAACAACACAATGATAAATTATAATTAATACTCCGAAACGTATGTTTCTTTATATGTTTGACACATATATTTGACTATCGTTATTTATTATGAAAAAGTTCTATTGTATTTACGTTGCATCTGGCCTTTTGTCCAACTAATGAGCTTTTCTCTGATTTGATTAAAAAAAATCCTCATTAAAGAAAATGAGATTTATTTTCTCTGGCGCCCCCTTTCGTTGTCGATAAGCTGGATCATTTGTTTACGTCTCCTCCTCTTCTCATTCATTAGCCCGAGGGGTTACCACCACTTTTCATTTCCTTTCTACCAGGGTTTTTTTTCTTGCTTTGTACTTTTTTTTTTCTTTTTCTTTTTTTTTTTTTAATTTTGAAAAATGTTTAAAAAACAGAAAGTTTAAAAGTTTAACTTCATTACTCAAATATATTAAGTTTTTTTTTTTTGCTTTCGTTTTTTTTTAATTCCTTTTAGATTATGTTGCTTGTTTTCTTTGTCTAGAGGATTTTATTTTAAAAAAAAAATAACGCTGTTGTGTATCTGACTCACATTATGGAAAGTAAAGACGACTGGACATTGAACTTTCTATACCTTATATGTCGAGGTCACCGAAACAGATAACCCTCATTTAGTTGAGCTTCACACTAAATCACACAATAGGAAATTTTTAAGTAAGATCATAAGATTGTACACACACAAAAATTGTCTGTTGAAAACAACCTTTGTAGTAACTGTTCTTATCACATTTGATTCGTATGAGTAGCTATTGGTAACATGAAAACTATTTTGAACAATTTGTTAAGAAACAAGTATGTTGTATTGAACTATATATGGAGACAAGTTGTATGTTGTATTTTACTATATATGAAGACAAGGTGTATGTTGTATTGAACTATATATGGAGACAAGGTGTATGTTGTATTGAACTATATATGGAGACAAGGTGTATGTTGTATTGAACTATATATGGAGACAAGATGTTGTATTGAACAATATATGGAAACAAGTTGTATGTTGTATTGAACTGTATATGGAGAGTTGTTGATACGGGTGTGTGAAAAATAGTTTATGTAAATGTGTGTGTTAGTTTTTTTTATTATTACAACAGTAATGCAATATTACGTAAAGTTTTCGGAGAGGAAATTAAGATTAGGGCTATGTTATAACTTTGGATTGTGTTATAGAGAGTGTTAGTGTTGACATTAGCAAGTTATAGACATTTTTAGTTTACTACCTATAACCTAACACCCGTTTTTAAAGAAGATTCCATGTATGTGACATTTTCAAACTCGGTTATAAAACATTCTACAAGTTGTAATATATAACACAAATATATGAAAAGTTATAATAATGTTTTTAAATATTTCAGTCGCCGTGTCTTCCATTAAAGAGGTGCGCCAAGGGAAGACAACCGAGGTTCTCCGGAGTAAGGAGATCGTGGGCATCTACCCCGACGAGTGCGCCTTCTCGATCATCTTCGGCGAGGAGTTCGAGTCGATGGATTTGATAGCCAACACGCCGGATGAGACCAATATATGGATTAGCGGCCTCACCTGCCTGCTTAACGCCAACTCCAGGTCCAGCAATTGTGAGTACTCTCTCACCTGTTCGGGGGTTACATGGTAGATGTGCAGAGGCGTAGCTAGGGGAGTGGGGGGGGGGTACATATGTCTCCGGGCGCCGACCTTAGGGGCGCCAAAATGTGTGCAAATTTAAAATTTGAGGGGGGTGCAAATTGAAAGTTTGGGGGGGGGATGCAAATCGAAAATTGATTAGGTTGCTCCAGAGGGGGGCGCCAAATTGAAAGTTTGTCCCTGGGCGCCGGAAGGGTCGCTACGCCTCTGTAGATGTGGTACAATGTAACCGTTAAATCCTTGGCGTCTGTCAGTTTCTTGAGTTTATAAGTGCTAGCCGGTGTCTACTTAGAATTATGGCCGGTGCCAACGTAAAGTTGTAATTGGTGCCAATTTAGAATTGTATGCACTTCAATTATTGAGAGTTGAAAATGGAGTGTTCAGTTCGCATGATGAGAGAGTTCGGCTTTGGGTATTGGGTTGATTGTGTTGTGCTTAAGATGGTGTCTACTTGGCTGAAGGAATTGGGCTTTTGTCTGTCCCAAGGGTATTTGGCTGATTTTGATGGGCGTGGGCTTTTAGTCGTTTGGCTGAGGGAATTGGGCTTTTGACTACTACTGGAATTTGGCTGATTCTGTTGGGCTTCGGTTTTTAGTCGTTTGGCTGAGGGAATTGGGCTTTTGTCTGTCCCTGTATTTGGTTGATTTTGATGGGCGTGGGCTTTTGTCTGCTTAGTGTCATTGGCTTAGGTTGTTAGTCCCCTGTTTTGTCATTGGCATTCTGTTTCTAGGAAGTTAGTTCATGCTGCTTAGCGAAGGGACTTGGCATTTGATCTGGCTCATATTTTTGAGTTAAAGTATTTGAGATTATTATTTTGGGCGTGCAATTTTGGTTTAGGTTGGTGGGCTTTGTGTGGGCTGTAAAACTTTGGACTGGCGATGGTTGCCCTAGGATGTGGGGCTTAATGTGGGCTTTAAAACTGGATTCATGATGGCTGCCTTAGTATATTGGGCTTCCAGTTCTCAGTTAAACCTCCCTGAGCTAGGGATTTTGTAGTGCTATCACTGCTCTCTTCTTAATTCTATTTTCTGGTACGTTTTAACATAATGATTGATACGATTAAGTAAATATAACATTTCCTGATCAGTTTTAATGTAATGATTGATAAGGTAAATGCAACATTAGCTCAACGCTCGATGTTGGAGCCGATAAACATCACGTTTGAAAACTTAAGACCTTTTTTATTGTTTAGTAATTTTTTTAATCACAAGACTATTAGGTTTTAATTTAATTAAATGGGGCGGGGATTGAGCGATTAAAAAAAATAATTTCCAATCGGAAAGTTATTGTTTTGTTTTTAATTTATCAGATAGATTAATGTATGCTGACATTTTATAATTTGGGTTGTGTGTGTGTGTGGGGATGGGGGGGGGGGGGTGAGGGAAATGATTCAGAACATCTCTAAATATGCCGGTTTATAACTGGTTGTACTCAGATCTGACCCCATCCTTAAATACAAAATATCTGTTAGAGTTGGATGTTACTCATGTGTGACTTATCTAATCAATGCAGGATACTCGTTATAGCTGCCTTTACTCTGTTTTATATTTACATTTTATTTTGTTTTACGCCTAAATCCCGCCTTTCTCTTTAGATGTGCTATATCATTTACCTCCGGGGCTTTGTGCAAAAGCTTAGGGATTTTGTTCCTTAGCTGGTTTTAAAAAAAAAATTCTGCTGAGAAATTTCTAGAATATTTCCTTAACCTGTAGCTATGATCATTCTTTTTTTTTTTGTCAATAAAAAAAATCCGCGTCAAAAATATATTCACGGGCGAAATCACGGGATATAGCCTACTGCTTAACAGAAGCATTTAAAAAAAAAACGTACTTTAATTCATATTTACGAATACATTTTTGAATTTCTTTTTGAAGCGTCAAATTATTCCCCCCCCCCTCCCCCACTGTTTTGTTGCTTTAGTATGTTTTGTAATGCTATACTTATACACATACATGCATAACACATGAAAATACACATACTCATGCACGTGCACACACACACACGCTTGCACATACCCATACATATCAAGCACACATTATCCTATACTTACCTCGAACATTATAATACCAACTTTAATCCTGTTAGCATAAAACTCTCAAAACTCTTAAAATCCTGACGAGTTTCAGATTTAACTTTAAAAGCCCTTGTGCTGTTTGAGTTCCAGTCCTTGAAACTCATCGAGTCCAGGAATTTTCTTACAGGATTTTCTGGTTGTTGGTTGTTAACGTAATTACTGCAGGTTGTTTCCCGGATTAATTGTGATGGGATTTCTGCGTGCCATACTTTGGTGTACAGTAGGATCTCCAAGCTTGGTGTTTGCTGCATTTTTATCTTCATGCTTTAATGATCTGCCATAGTTCATGGTTCTTCAGAATTACTGAGATTGAGTTATTTTAATCTGTTTTGGCCTATCGTTGTCCATGGCACTTAGCATTACTGACCTTGATTTATTTTTTAATTTGATGTTTTGGTATACCATAGTTCACGGTACATAGAATTACTGAGCTAGATTTTTTATCTGATGTTTTGGTCTACCATAGTCCACGGTACTTAGCATTACTGATCTAGAATTTTCTGATCTGATGTTTTGGTCTACCATAGTCCATGGTACTTCAGCATTACTGAGCTAGAATTTTTTTAATCTGATGTTTTGATCTAAAATAGTCCATGGCACTTCAGCATTACAGAGCATTTCAATTACATCGGTATTTTGTGATAACACATTCTTGCCCTGCTGTAATGAGTGTATTGTGGTCTTGCGTTGAGTAGTTTAAAGATTTCATCATTTCAACCATTGTTTTCTGCATTTTATCGTGAGTTTTTTGTTGGTTTTTTTTCCCCTGACGTAGTCTAAGGTATTCTTGTTTAAGTTGTTGTATCGTCTTGCTTACCTCGTACTTATCGAACATGCTAATAGCTAATGACTGCATTACTTGCATTGCTTACTTGAGCTCTTTGCCTGAGTGTTTGGAGAATCACTGTATAGACAAAATAGGGGGGATAACTGTATAGTACAAGGGAGATAACCGTGTCAGAAATAACCCTATAGTGCAAGGGAGATAACTGTATAGTACATGGGCGATAACCGTACATGCGAGAAAACCGTTAAAAAATGGGAGATAACCGTACAGATTATAAAATCACGGAGCTCACCTGTATACCGAAGACGGATGAGTTCATGACCCCGTGCATGTAGTGTCACACTCTGCGGAATCCGGTTACCTTTTTTTGTGTGTCTTCCTGCCGTTGAGGTGTTTCACTGGATATTAGCCAGGCGCATCTTAATAGCTTAACTACGTGATTACTTAACAGACTGCGTCTACAGTACTTTAACGCATTGTTTGTTTGTTATTTTATGACTTCACTTTTTAGAATGGACATCACCGAGTTGACGAGAATCCTTCCCTCGTCATTGTTGACATGGATAAAAATTGTGTTTTCGTAACTTTCGCCCTTAAAGGTGTCCGTGAACAATAATTAAATTAACAAATTAAATTAAGCTTGAAGATTTTTTTTTAAATTAATATTTTAAGAATCGGTGATATTAAATTGTAAATGTAGACAACTTGAAATAAAATACAATAACTTTTAAGGCTACATTCCTATTTATTTTCATCTAGCCTAAATTATAATCTCTAGTTTCACTTCCGTAAGACAAGAATTGATTGGATGTACAAAAGTTATGTGATCGATCCTCTGAAAACCCCACTTTCTAATAATTTGAAATCAATACTATTCCAATAAAAAATTAAAATAAAATTATACCTTTTTTATCGCAATTTCCATACGGACAATTGCGATTATTAACTCGTCATTTCTGGATGTATGAATGGATGGATGGATGTGTGTCCGCAGCTTTAAGTGGTATTTCCTCCTCAACGAAGCAATATCGAGGACTAGTTCCAAAAGCAAATATGTTAAGCAAGTTCCAAGGATGATTGTGGGCCCAAAAAATTCCGGAATTCCTTCCTGGATTTCCCGGAAAAGCCAAAAAACCTCGAACAAATGCAGTTTTTGCTCCATATCTCGGCAACCAGACCACTTCGCGACTTGAAACATTTGCCAATTGATTCCTGCCATAATTTAGAACAATATTGCCAAAGAAAGTTTTCAAAAATATCCTTTCGTTCGGTCACAAATTTAAAAAAAAAATTATTTAAACTGAGCATCGTGTAGGCCTAGGATGATATTTTAAACTGAGCATCTTGTAGGCCTACTCGTGAAAATAAAACTATTTCCGTTGATATAGGTTAATATAGTTGTCTTTTTTTTTTACTTATTAATTCAAACGTTATTTTTGTACCCTATTAATTTATTTATAATTTATATTAGAGTGATAGGGAGTTACAATTACAAGGTTTTGTTTCGCTAGGCCTAATCATTTTTTCACATTTTTAGTTTAATGTAAAAAGGAAAAAAAAAAAACAATTTAATTTTTTTTTAAATTTTAATTTAGAAAAAAAAAAAAAAAAAAAAAAAAAAAAAACGTTCGATGTTGGGACTAAAAGTTCGACAGAGAGATACGAAAAATGAAGCCCCCCCCCCCCCCCAACCTACAATTTAGTAGTTACGAGTTCATGCATTAACAGTTATTCCGTTTCACCGTGAATCACTACGTCGCAAATCGATCCGCGAACTTTCACCTCTTGAAGTCCTGATGCATTGAGTGCCATTGTATGACTCGATCTTCCCCCCTGCGTGAAAAGCGTCTTCACGAACGTATCGTAAAACTGATTTGTTGACACTGTCGCGCGGTTTAAAACCCTGGAGATCTAGAGAAAACTTCTGATTTCGTTTCGGTTTTTTTTCCCCCATCCAGTAATCGATACTCACATATCCGTAGTTTTTTTTAGACATTCGTGGTGTGTAATCGATTTTTCTCGTATGTCAGTTTAATAGGAAGGTATCGATTATCCACAACTCAAGGACATCCTTCGGGGTACGGAGTGCCGGT